CAGGTTCTCTCTTCGCGGCGCGGGGGTAGGACACGGCGCGGCAAGGTAGGGCGTCGCGGCGCGAGATGTCCTTCACGGCGCGGTGGGAGAGGCAGCATCTTCTGAAGGCCCGTGACGGGTGCCACGGCGCGGCATGGAGGGGCGGCAGTCTGGGAGCTCCTGTCCGATTGCAACACTCCGCGTTTTGTGTTCGTTTGCGCTCGTTTGATATCGAAATCCGAATCTGTTTTCTTCTTTGTGTTGTCGACGCAACGCTCTACTCAGCTAAATTCTTCCGGTTCCATTATCGTGAAAAATATATCCTCCCGAACCTTCCATCCTGGACACCAAAGGCGAAAGAAAAACGAAGGAAACCGGAAAAATACACAAAAAAACACAGAAATACTCACAAAGACGCGAAACATGAAATAAACGACAAAACGACTCTAAAACCACATAAATGACTCAAAATGGGGGAAAAAGAAAGAGAAAATAGACACGACTAACGTAACAAAAATGGGACAAACAGAGGTATTATCAACAGCATGATCATGAGGGACAGAAACATGATTGGTTACAGTTGCTGGTAAAACAGATGTTTTATTGTCTCTTAAGATGATATAATCCATCTTTGAAATCAGCATAACCAATCATTTTGTGACTTGTCAGGTTCTGTAATATGCAAGAAGATGACAAGAATTTGACAATACAATTATTTGATGCAGCCAACTTTGAAACAGAAACCAGATTAAAAGGAAATGATGGAACATATAATGCCTTATGTAACACCAGAGAATCAGATAAAATAACAATTCCAATACTATGAGCATTAGTATGATTGCCATTTGGAAGATTTATTCTAGTATTAATATGAGAGGCAGGACTAGAATATAAATCAAGAGAGCAAATCATATGGTCAGTAGCTCTTGTGTCAAGTATCCAAGTGTTATGAGATAAAGACTTGGAAACTAAACATGATAAGGGTGTAGGTATACCTGAATGCTCAGTAAATGTTGTTGCAACCACAGGAGTATATGAAACTTGTTGATTTGACTCATGTGATTCCTTAAATGCTAAAAACTCAGTAAACAAACTGTTAGTAATGGAATTAGCATCAGTCTGAGTCTCAGGTTGAGATAATGTAGAGTCAGATATAGCAGCATGAGCAGATGAGTTTGATCTAGGTCCCTTTGGGCCAATCCAATTGATCGGGTAACCAACTAGTTGATAACATCTCTCAGTAGTATGACCCAGGCGACCACAATGAGAACATTTAGGTCTAGGTTTGTCTTTGTTAAAAGGTTGTTTGGGTTTGTTATACACAGGAGGGTGAGAGGATGTTTTGGCTATCATGGCAAGTGGTTCAAAAGTTTTAGTGGTATTTGTCAAGATCCTTTGACTTTCTTCCTGAAGTAACAGGGAATAGACTGTGGTAAGGGAAGGCAAAGGACTAGAAAGCAAGAAATGACTCCTTAAGGAAGAATAAGAATCATTCAGTCCTATTAAAAATTTCATAACAGAGTCGTGTTGTTGAGCATTTGTCATGGCCTCAAAAATATTACATGTACAGTTAGCAAAAGCTCCACAAACACATTTGAAAACTGGTCTATAAGTGATGTACTCATCCCAAAGAGTTTTGAAGGCATTATAGTACTGAGTGATTGTTAAACTAGCCTGGTCAATTGTACTGAGAGACTTTTCCAATTGGAAAACCCTAGGACCACTGGATAAAGCATAACGAGATCGAATTTCTTCCCATACATCTCGTGCAATTGAAAAGAAAAGCAAAGACTGTCGAATATCCTTATGAACAGAGTTGAGAAGCCAAGATAGTACCAGATTGTTTGCCCGAACCAAAGATAAAGACTGAATAGGATTTTGTACCGGATTTGGGGCAGTGATGGTACCGTCAACGAAACCGAGCTTGTTTATTACGCTCAACGCCATGGAGACGGCTCTCGACTATGAAACTTAGTTATCCCCGGTGAACTGCTCAGCCACAATCAAGGCTCCTGGATTGTCGGAGGCGGGGAGATAAAACGGCGAAGTCGGATCGTCTGAAGGATTTGGCGTTGCTGGCGCTTGTGTCGTCGTCATCGAAGATAGATCGGGCAGGATTGAATACAAGTCGAAGAGAATGTGTAGATCACAGATCTGAAATATTGCCAAATCGATCGAAAACAGGCAATCGAACAATCAATAGAATCAGTGAGCAGCAGCGGAATAAGATTAAGAATCAGATCGCAAAACCGGCGAATGATACCATGTTAATATGAGAAATCGGCAACAGAAAAGAAAAGAAGAACAAAGGAAAGAACAAGAGAGAGAAAAGAGAAAAGCGACTGAATTAGTAAATGAATGAATGAGTCGGTATTAGGGTTTTACATGTGGTATGATGTCTACTAAAGTTGCTATTGTACAAAAGTAACTATAAGTGCTAAATAGATAAAAATACACTTTTATTGTAAAAGACTAATATAGCTTCTATATGTTGTTAATCTACTTAAATCGGTCACAGTAGCCTTTGGACAACTTCTAAGTGATCATCAACACCAAAAGAATTGGAATAATATTTATTTAGTCTATTTAAGTCAAAATAATTAAAATTACATATTTATCGAAAGAACAACTTTTTTGATATGTAATTATTGAAAAGTAAGTGTGTAATTTATGAATATCATATAATTCATTATAATTTATAAGTAACTTATGATAACGAAAAATTGCTTACATATAACTTACATAATTAAGTTCACAAAACGGAGTGTACATGATCGAAACAATTGCCATGACTTGGTTGATCTGTTTACTGTGCCATTTTCTATGACTGTGGGAAAATATTTCCTGTCGTATCCTATGTGACATTACTCTCAAAATGCATTATATTATTTATTTATTTTTTAAATAATTAAAATAACCTTTTAGATCACCAACCCTACACAAATCGCCTAGTTACATTTTCTTTTTTTTTTTTCTTTTGAGTAGAGATATTAAACGGGCTAGTCCTAGCGGTTTCAGGCTAGCCCTAGCGGGATTCGGGCTAAATGGTCCGGGCCTAAAAAGTCCGGATTTAAACGGGCTACCAATAAAAGGACCTAACCCTAAACCTAGCGGGCTTCGGGCTAATCGGACTATACGGGCTATAATAATAATAATAATAAATTACAACACCTAGTTAACGGTTTTTTTGAACGGCTATTTAGTATTTACCACTATATATATATACAACTACACTTTATATATGAACACATTACAAACTCTTAAATAACATATTGTTTTTTAATAGAAAAAAAAGATATTCGAACTATTACTTATAACTACCATTTGTCTAGTTATTTGGTACGTTTCGGGAATATTGACAATATAGCATACTGCTAAATTTATATTCTATCAATATATTCTATGTGTTAGGTCTTTGTCTCATTTATTTTTTACTAGCCGTTCTGATTGGCTTAAATATTTTGCTGTCAAATAGAATAAAATTTGTTAATAACTATCTACAAAATAATGATAATATATTATAACTCATAATTACTTGTGAAGTAGAATAACAAAATTGTAATATACAAGGAATCACAGGACATATTTCTTACCTTTCTAAAAACATATACACCACCCAACTCCAGTTAAACGGGCTAGCCCTAGCGATTTTCGGGCTAGTCTTAGCGGGCTTCGAGCTAAATGGTCCAGGCCAAAAATACCCAATTTAAACGGGCTAAGCGGGCTGACCCGTCGGGCCAATGACCATTTAACATCTCTATTGAGTGATAAATTATTCCTTTACATTCAATCAACACGTGAAAATTACTGTAGTCTCAAATTTAGGATACATCTGTTAAATCCTCGCTTGGGGATTAAATCCCATTATGTGGTGCGAAAAATCCTATATTATTTTATTTTTTCCAAGTTCCAACATAGACAAAAAGCAAAGTGGTCTCGTTTTTCATCATTTCATTCTTGCAGTGGTCACAAAACGTGGACAAAATCAGACTAGTCTTTATTTTCATGATTTTATTTTCGAAAAGTTCACCTCAAAAATTATTTTAATATGCATTTGGTGTGCATCAGATTAAGATGTTTTTCCACCGTTGTCTTACAGCTGGTGTTGCAAAATTCTGCTTCTCTCAAGATTCTTACACAACGTGCATAGGCATAGATGATTAGATACATCAATATGATTTTCATCCAAGAATAACACTCTGTCAGCCATTGGAC